GCTCCTTGGGCGGCGGCAGCTCCTCGGGCCGTGGCTGCTCCTTGGGCGGTCATGGCAGTGGCCGCTCCTCCGTTGGTGGTGGTCCTTGTACGCGGCAGGCTGTGCATGTCTGCTGCTCCTCAGACGGGGGTGGGCTCCACGCTGCTGCTGATTCTTGGATGGGGTCGGGTTGTGCGCTGGTGCTGCTCCTCAGATGGGGTGGGCTTCTCACGGGGCTGCTGCTCCTCAGAAAGTGGTGGGCTGCATGTGTGGCTGCTTCTCCCCGGACAGGGGTGTGCTACTCACTAGGCTGCTGCTCCTTGGATGAGGGCAGGCCGTGTAAGACTGTTGCTCCTCTGATGGGGGCACACTGCTCGAGGGGCTGCTGCTTCTCTGATGGGGGCAGGCTTTGTGCGGGGCTGCTTCTCCTTGGATGGGGGTGGTCTTCTTGCACTGCTGCTGCTCTTGTGGTCATGGTGCCCTAGGCTAAAGTGTTGGGCTGGCCATAGGGGAGCATGCTTTGGAACTCACAGGAGCCCATGGCCGGTGTGGCTGGAGTTTCAGTGACCGTGGGACCTCAGCTGAGGCAGCTGGTCCCTGACAGGGGTGGCTGTTGAGTCCTGGGTGGTGTCTCAGGGTACCCTGGGTGGAGGTGAGGCTGGCCTCCCAGTCACAGCAGCTCTCCCGTTCAGGAAGGTGCAGCTTCTTTGGTAGAGTCAGCCACCCTGGAACTGTTCGCAATGGTAGCAGAGGCTGCCTGGCTAGGCGAGCCTGGTCTGCCTGCCACCGTAGGTCCTGAGGGATCTAACAGTCCCTCACTCACATTCACACACACACAGGCCCCACACGTCCACACACTCACGTTTCTCTCCCTCCCTCACTCATGCTTTCTCCCTCACTGTCGCCATCTTCCTGCCTCTGTATTTGGGTCTGGAATGTTTTTGACTTGTTTGTGGATGGAGTCTCCTCTCTGGGTATCTGGTTATGTGGCTCGCTCTCTACCATATCAACCAAACAGTAAAAAATGCAACTCGACAAGACACTACACAAAGGGAACAAAAGAAGAATGTACTCACAACACTGATTACCCCAATATAAGTGACCACCAGAGAAAAGAGAATTAGGGGAGAGAAAAGAGAGCACAAATGATATCAAGGAGAGAAAAAATGTTAAGAGAGGGAAAAAAAAAGAGAAAGGAAAAAAGAGGGAAAAAATCTATAATAATCCTATATAATAAAAGCCTAATATGCAAATAGACCAAATGACCAGTTGCTATGACACGCATACTACCAAGGGGCAGACATTCAATGCAGGAGCTGCCCCCAGGCCCCGCTGGTCACCCCACAGATTGGCCCTTATCGCTGGCCAGGCCTAGGGACGGTACCCATGCACAAATTTTGTGCATCGGGCCTCTAGTAAAAGTATAATATGCTAATAAGACCGGACAGCTGAACGACTTTCCGGACGTCATTCTGGACATCCTTTTGGATGAAGCCACAGCGGCAGGGGCCAGAGGCGGTTAGGAGCGATCAGGCAGGCAGGCAAGTGGTTAGGAGCTAGTGGTCCCAGATTGCGAGAGGGATGTCTGACTGCCGGTTTAGACAGTTGGAATTCTAAACTGACAGTTGGAATCCCCCAAGGGTTCCCAGATCGTGAGAGGGTGCAGTCCAGGCTGAGGGAACCTCATCCCCCCTTGCACGAATTTTGTGCACCGGGCCTATAGTGTGTGTGTGTGTGTGTGTGTGTGTGTGTATTGGAGAAAACACCACAGAACAAAGAGATAAACAAAAAAATGCAAATATCAAACACCCAGAAAAGAGGGTGGGGGCAGCATCTGTAGAGGCTGAGCTTATATATAGAAAGTAAGGTTAAGGAATTGGATGAATAGGGGGAGGACCTCAGTTCAGTAGAGGGGAAGTAGGAAGAGGATGAGTGGATAAGAAGAAAGAGAAAGAAGAAAAAAAAACACAAAAAATTCATTAAAAATAGGATAAAATGAAGAAAATGAAAAAAATAGAAAAATAGAATAGAATGATGAAAAAATAATGCAAGAAGAAATAAAAATAAAGAAACAAAAAAGGAAATACAGAAAATAGAGAAAGATAACAAAATAATAAAATACTAGTAAAAATGAAAAAGTGAGTGTCGTTCCTTTCCGCTGAGTTTTAATGTCCCATGGGGCTGGTTTAAGATCCCACTCATCTGTACTGTCTGCCACTTCTCAGTTTCCTGTTAGATTGTTGAAGTTCCAGGCGGTCCACTGCTCCTCTGTTTGTGTCTATCTCCGGGATTAATCAGCCCACTTTGCCTGTCTGTCTGCTTTTAATCTTAATTTCTCAAGAGGCTGTTTCTGACAGGGCTATAGTTGGGGAGGTTGTCGTATGGTTTTCCAGGACTGAATGGCCTCTCTTCAGGCCAGTCCCTGAGGGCTCTCAGGTACTATTCAGATATATATATATTTTTGGTATCCTTTGTAACACTCAGGGTGTAGTCTGGTTGTGGCTGTATTGGGGGCCTGGAGACTGCAGGCAGAGGCTATCACTTCAGGAGAAAATGGCTACCTAGGTCCAGCTTGTCAGGTATGTCTCAGTGCCAGACTCCTGGCCACCTATCCCCAAGCTGCTCCTCTCCCCAGACTCCACAAGTCCGCACCTCAGCCACGGGTGGGTGTTTGTATTTGAAAGGTCCTATGAACTGGGTTTAACGAATAAAAGCAAAGACCAGAGGGGAAAGAGATGTGCCACTGTGAGCTCCTCCCTCCACCCCAGCACAGCACGGCTTGGGCAGTTGTTCCAGCTGCCGCCTCTGGGCTCAGCCTCTCGTGGCTGTGGGCTTAGATCTAGAATCCCCTGTTGCCAGCAGCCCTGTGGACTTCCTTTCCACAGTCAGATGTTACACCTGTCCTAAGGGACATGGCCTTGGTGCCATGCAGCTTCCTTCTGACCTTCTGGGCTTGGAGGTCTCATAATTCTTTCCAGCCCAGATCCCTGATTTTACTGTTCTCCAGGTGTCCTCTGCCCTTCTCAGCTTCGAATTGTCTCACCAGCTGTGTCTACTTTGCCAATTCGGGGTGAATGTTATTCGATTTAGTTGCTCCTTATATCTGCTCCGGGACAAGGCTTGGGACACATCTGCCTATTTCACCGCCATTTTGTCTCCTCCACGTGTTTTGTTTTAAAATTAAATTTATTGGGGTGACGTTGATTAATAACTTTCTTTTTTTTATATATTTTATTGAGTTTTTTACAGAGAGGAAGGGAGAGGGATAGAGAGTTAGGAACATCGATGAGAGAGAAACATCGATCAGCTGCCTCCTGCACATCTCCTACTGGGGATGTGCCTGCAACCCAGGTACATGCCCTTGACCGGAATCGAACCTGGGACCTTTCAGTCCACAGGCTGACGCTCTATCCACTGAGCCAAACCGGTGCTGGCGATTAATAACTTTCTAACTTTTAGCTGTACAATTTATAATAACATCATCCATATACTCCACTGTGTACTCCTCACCCAAAGTCTTGTCTCCCTTCATCATCATGTATTTGTCATGTCTTCTTTGTGTGTGTGTTTTTTAAAAAAATATATTTTTATTGATTTCAGAGAGGAGGGGAGAGGGTGAAAGAGATAGAAACATTAATGATGAGAGAGAATCATTGATTGGCTGCCTCCTGCATGCCCCACACTGGGGACCGAGCCTGCAAACCGGACATGACCTCCTGGTTCATAGGCAATGCTCAACCACTGAGCCACATCACCAGGCTGTCATGTCATCTTTTCACTGTAGCACAGTCTGTTTTGTGAGAGTTGAAAATTAATTATTTAAAAATCCATATAATTTATTTTTTACCAGTCACATAACTATAGGCCAATGTTATTCTAAGATGTAAGTAAATTTTTCAATAGTTGAAGATTTTTTAGAAAACCCAGTATTTGGTATACATTAATGCAAGGCTTTTACAAAGTCTAGCACTTTACCATGAAACTAGAGGCGTGATGCACAAAATTCATGCAAGGGGCTTGGCCCTTGCAGCTGCGGCGGCTTGCCTTAGCCCTTGCAGCCCTGGCTTCGTCCAGAAGGTCATTTGGCTTTCCGGTTTAATTAGCATATTACAATTTTATTATTATAGATTGAGTAAATTGTTAAGCATGAGTAATATTAGCATTGTCCCAAATATCCTGTTGGGTAATCATATTAAAACAACAATATAGTTAGAGACATTGAAGCTGTTGTTGTATAGCCATAAAATCCTGGGTTTATGCCCAGCATAGGTGTTGTTGTTATTAGTGAGGTAAGAAAGCAGAAAGAAGGAACTAAAAGATAATTATGTTGATTTGTTTTTGGGATATAATATTCCATGACTATTTAAAATCAAGAGTATTTTTGGAATCTGCATTTTTTTCAGAATATTGTGTTATCTTAATTGCTTAAGTATCCCTATGAGGCTTAGATAACTATAGCAATAATAGATACTTTGTTTAAGCAGAAATATTTGGGATATGAGTAGGCTATTTTAGTGTTTCAAATGTAGCTCTATATACAGTAGAGAGCTGGATAGCTTTCTGTATAAACCAATCAATTTAGCATTTCATACTCTTATTTTGAGGGACATAAGACCATTCTCTGAATATAATTTTTTTTAATCTATGCCCATATACAAATGTTTAATTTCACATTTATCATCTGGGAGGAAAACTGGGTGTTTTTCTCTCCAATTAAATTATTTTAGGTTAATTAGAATATGTACACTAGTTTATGTCCCATCACTCCTCAGCATGTCTGTGTACATACCAGCTTTTTATTTTTAAAATGTTATGTGTCACGTTCATAAGTATTTTTGTATCATTATTATAAAAATCAATTCTCTTCAGCAGTGGTTCTAAAAGACACTTCCTTAATGACTGTGAGATTATCCCAGTTGGGAGCTAACCTCAGTCCTCTTTGAAACTTCTAGTGATGCTGAGACTCAGGGCAGTGTTCTGTGCTCTGACCTGCCCTTCACCTTCTGCCTATTGTCTTGTAGGCATTCTGGAATTTATCAGTATAGCCGTGGGCCTTGTCAGCATTCGAGGCGTGGACAGTGGACTCTACCTCGGCATGAATGAGAAGGGGGAGCTGTACGGATCAGTAAGTACTGAGAAGACTTCACAGCCTTTCTGTCTCACACTGGCTTGAATGCACTTTTTCTGGGTTATAGTAGCCTCGATAAAACCGAGTCTGTTGAGAAGGAGAGTGTGAGCTCTTACACTTTTTTGAGGCAAATCATTTTGTTTTTATTAATAGATATCATCCCTGGATCTTCAATAGACCAAAGTTTCTAAGAAAATGTTTTATCATATTCCAAACCATTTTCATATCAAATACATAAAATTTACATCTGAAAAATCTCATCTTGTATTGAATGGGAGTTATTTTCTAAATGAATTGAAACTATTTTCTCCCAAGCTTTGCTAAGCATTGTAATTAAAACTAAAAATAGATCATGCAGGATATATAAGCCCTTTTTCTGAGCTACATGAGATTTTCATTATGGAGTCAGAAGGGAGATGGAAATTATTGTCAGATATTCTTGTATGTGAGTAAGAATATAAATATAATAATTTGCAAGTATTGAATTTTGGTTTTTTTATTCCTCATTTCTTATCTTCATTGGCTGTGAGCTGCTTGGGGGAGGCAGGGAAGTATTTATGGTACCTGCCATTATTGGTGGTCACATGGGAATTTAATCCATTCTCTGCCATATGAGAACCTGGATTAGAATTTACAAAAAGTTGAAAACTGACAGCTGAGGATGGGAGAAGTTCTGGAGTCCCCTGTAACAGGAATGAAGGGCATATATGTAGAATCAGGAGACATTTTCTATAGATTGCTTCTTTCCTAGCCACATGCTAGTAAATGTGTTTGTGTATGTGTGTACTAGGGTTGGAAATAGTATCCAATTTTCACTCAAAAACTTCAGATGACAATAAGTTATGGATTATGTAATTTGAATATAGCATACACCATTTTTAGTGACACTTGTGTGTTTTACCTGCCTTTGTAAAATTTGAATCAGGATTGGTTGATTTTGTTAGAAAGTTAAGTCTTTTTTAAAAAAGTGCTTCCTTGAGAGAATAGATTTTTTTGAAATGGTTTTATTTTAATTAATTTATTTTTTGTGCCCTTGACCAGAATTGAACCTGGAACCCTTCAGGCCACAGGCTGATACTGAGCCAAACCAGCTAGGGCTAAAATGTTTTTAAGCATAGGATTGAGATTAGCTTTTTAAACACAGCTATTGTTTTTGATAAAGTTATTTATTTCCGAAATTATTTTTGTTAATACTTTCAGTATGAAGACATAAAATGTAAGGAAATTTTTCAATTTTTAACTATATAGTGACATTCTCCTTTTTGTCCCTCCCTCAATTTTTTTTTCACCTTTACACATATAATGTGGATTTAAGTTGGTCACAGTTGAACTCCATATAATGCTTTTTGTGTGAGACTATGGTTTATCACAACTATCTCCAAACTTTTCAAATCATGTACCACCACCAAAAATGTTTTTGAGTATGGATTTCAATAATGCATATTAAATTATTTCAAAACTAGAGGTCTGATACACTAAATTCGTGTAAGGGTCTCGGCCCTCGCAGCCACGGCGGCTGCTCCCGCTTTGTCCAGAAGGTCATCCGGAAGGTGGTGGCTCTCCGGTCTAATTAGCATATTACGCTTTTATTATTACAGGTTGTATTTATAAGATATAGTTCATAAGTATTAGTTTATAAAACATGAATTAAGGTAAACATTTTTCAAGGATGCAGTGACTGAGTCAACACAAATCGAGGCTGGGCTATTAGTCCCCTGCTCTGGGGACCACCTTGCATACCCCATCAGAGCCCCTGCCCCTTAGAGAGATGACTCATCTTTTAGATGAAATGGCTGTGTGACAGCCCCTGCGGTTTGCTGTTTGACAAGGAGCAGATGGAACTTCGTGTTCAGCACAGGAGCCTCCCTTTTTTTGTCTGGGCTCAGCCTTGTCTCTCCTTCTGGATTTCTTTGGATGGCCTCCTCTCCTGTCATTCAGTTGCCCTCCTGCCTGTGTGGCTCCCTCTGTAGCACAGACTGGGGACAGAGTGAGGGCTCCAGCCTCAATGAACACCAGTGACAGGAGTATGTGAAAAGGTGGCCAGAGGCAGGAAGTTGGAGAATCCCATTGTAGTAAGTTTTCTGTGACTTCCAACTGCTTTGTTTAGAGCGAGCCCCTGAGCAGGGCTAAGAGTGGACTTCTCACCTCTACTACCCCACAGCCATAGGACTAGTTGACAATCCTTGTCACACCAAAGGGGACAATCCCAGAAAAGCTAAAAAAAAAAAAAGCTCTTCTTCCTTCTGTGTTTGAGAAATGCATACCTTCTCATGTGTGTCTCCAGGCTTGGAGGAAAAGTGTGAAAAGGAACACATTTCCATACAGTGTTTCCTTTGTGGAAAAGTATCTTAAATGGCTTCTGTGCATCCTGCCTCTCTCATCTCCAATTCATTCTCCACAGGAATGGGAGAATTACCTCCAAAACCCAGAAATCAATGTCCTTCTCAGCTCAGACCAATGCTTGCTTTTAAATGCCAGTGCCTGCATTCTTTAGCAATGCCATCAATATTATCACAAATGTGCCAGTCCCATCTCTTGCCCTCTTTCCCCATGTATTTTGAGTTGACCACTTACTGTTCTATTTGTATGTGTGGTTAAGTTAACTCCTTTCTCTGGCATGTCTTTATCTTCTCTGCTCTACCTGATGAAGCAGCATTCTTTCTTTAAGATTCAATGAAAATATTGCCTCTTCTACAAAACCTTCACTACACCTCTAACTTGAACCCGAGTTATTCTGGTTAGCAGTTCTGGTGTTTTCCTTTGGGCCCCTGTACCACCATTTATATTTCCATGGTCACTCAAGTACAGTATGATATCCAGTGAAGTAAATTGTATATTTTTGTATTCACTAATGTTGCCTAACACATAGCCATGGCCCTTGTACATGATAGGTGCTCAGTATATGAATATTGGATTGAAATGAATGAACTATTGTGATTCTTTTTATGCTTCATTAAACATACAGGTGTGGACCTCATTGTATGGCTAGTGTGTATTTAGGACTCTGCTGGAAGGAAGAATTGCAATGTTCCATTGCCATGCTGGATCAGAAGGTGATAATGTGTCCAGCCCCAGGGGGATATGGCTGAGCCTAGAGACAGAAAAAAGTGTAGTGATGGGAGCACGGGAACAGAATGGGCTCTTATTCTGTCTCTGCCACTAGCAAGATGCTGGCCCTCACTCTGATGTATAAAACAAAAAGCATGACTTAGCTGTCTGGAATGTCTCTTCCTACCTGCATTTCAAGAATTTATGGTTTGGCTTTTTCAGGTTCACTCATGAGTCTTGTCTGTCTGACCTGTGATGTTCTCTGTGCACATGAAATGTTTGTGCAGTGAGCTCTTTTCCCTCCTACACGTAGAATTGGGAGGAAAACTCCCTGGGCAGCCAGATTGCTTTTTCTGTGGTCTGTATCTGATGCAGGTAAAGGGTAGAGAGAGGGTGATAGCAATGCTTTTCTATGGCCCAGGACCACATTGTCCATGGGTCTTGTGGTCATCACACTTGGGAATGAGGAGTGACCCAAATATCTCATTTCATTGTGATAAGATTCAGAGAAGGAAAGGAAAGAAATGGGCGATGATTCTACATTAAACTAAAAATTGTGGCTTAAGGAATTTTCACCTTTGCGAAGTTGTGTGAAGCTTAGTAAATTAAAATGGAGTTTTTATTTCTAAATATCGAGGAAAACTTGAAAAGATTGATCTCATTATTAAAGAAGGTAAAGAGGAGATTTGGAGAAATAACAGACACTTGTATAAAGTAAATGAATGTGTAAATGTAGCAGAAATTAATTTAAAATGTATTTTGAAAGTTGGGTTGTTTCTCTTTTTATCTATGTAGTTCTTTTGTTTTCAAGTTTATAGGAATGGATTTAAAAGGTCAGAAGTGAATGGGGTGATATTGCTTCAGAATAATGTACATCTAGGATTCTGGTTTCCTATTAGAATGTGGAAGTAGGAAAAAGTATATTGCTGTGTATCATGGTGTGTGGTTTGAGGAAACCTGAATAATTCTAGTTCTGGGGTAGAATTAGATTATTGTATCATATGTTAATCATTCATTCATTCATTTGCTAATTTATTCACAAACATTTATACCTATTATGTTCTAAGTGCATAACACTGCAACAAAACCTGGTAGGATTATAAATAGTTCAGTGCAATGTGAAATGCACTATATTAGAGAAATACAGGTGTCTTGGGTGCCCAGAAGAGTATTTGGGGAAATTGGGTGGTTACATTTAAACTGGATCTTGAGGGATGTATAGGAGTCTCAGAAAAGGATTGACAGACAATTTAGGGCACATAAGCCTTCAAATGTAAAGATTAGGATATCCTGCCTCGGTGAAGTTTAGAGAGGATGTTAGATTTCTCTATCTCCTCTCTTTTTCTCTCTCCTCTCTTCCTCTTCCTCCTCCTCCTCCTCCTCCTCCTTCTCCTCCTTCTTCTTCTTCTTCTTCTTCTTCTTCTTCTTCTTCTTCTTCTTCTTCTTCTTCTTCTTCTCTCTCTCTCTCTCTCTCTCTCTCTCTCTCTCTCACACTTGGCCAGAAGATTAAAGAATTAGAGTATGTTTACATTTGCCACTTTTGTTCTTATCAAAGAGACTATAAGTAAGGCTCAAATAGTTATTTTTAGGGTCTTACTCCAAATTATCTGAGTGTTATCAAGATACTTGACTGTGATAAATATCTAATTTAAAAAAAACTCTAGGAAAAATGAATTTCCTTAAAAAAGCTGGCATTTAATGAAAGATATTTGATGTTTTCATTTAAAAAAATGGTAGCACAATTACTAAAATTGTTATGATATAGGAAGTACAGCATGGACTCTGCAAAAGTGATATACAAGGACAACACACAGATTCCTGGTTTGTATCCCTTTTATAGCACTTGCTTCATTCTCTCCAGAATTTTAATTCCTTCGTCTTTCCCACTGGACTGTGTTTTTTGGAGTCAGAGTCTCTGTATACATATTCTTTCCGTTTCTTGAAGGCCC